TAAAAATATTAAACAGAACTAACCCCACTGCTGAGTCCTGGGGAATACCGCTTGCCATCAGTCACCAACTGGATCTAATCCATTAACCACCATTCTCTGGGTTCAGCCATCCAGCCAGTTTTTAAGCCAGTAAAGGGTGAACCCATCCAGGACATAAGCAGCCACACTTGCATGCTTCATTAGAACAATAAATTTGACAGAGCATTTAAATTAGTCTGAGGATACAAATGTTCTTCCAACACGTTTTGAAGCTACCTGTTAAAAAATTTAAACACTTCAAATTGGTTTCACATCTTAGTACATGACACGGCAACTATCTCCTTAAACTATTTTTGCCCAGTGGTTTCTTTTCAAGGTAAGAAGAATTTGAAACTACTATTAAACATATACACATATTAACATATGGCATTTTTGTGGGTGAAATATGTATTCCTATTCAGACTTATACATATATGCAAATATAACCTGTCTATCTGTGTTTGGTCATTTTAACTGTCAATTACATTTCCTTTAATTTTCAGGTAMGTAAAATATTTTGCAACACCTAGTARRKTAATGTAATATTCTGMAACATCTTGTMATGTAAAAGCTAATGTCAATAACCRTTACATAACAGACTAATGGACAGYTCAATATATGCMGAAAAGTATGTCATGGTATAACACTGCCCAGTAAAACTGAAACAGATTCTGTCTACCTTTACTGTATTTTTCTTTTCCCATTCCTTTTGACAATAACAAAGAAGGCCAAGTCATATTCACTTGTTTAGAAAACAGAACTGAAAGTATGAGTAGACGCTTTTCCCAGAAATTCTATCATCCAGATACATATGCCCACAATTCTGTCTCTTTTAATTTGGATATATAYTATTATTTTAATAATTAATGCAATCACCTGAGAAAGAGACTGTGATACAGTAATTATGTACTCTTATGTAACATCTCTTTAAATCACAGAACAAGCAGTAGTTTTAAATATGAAAAGATGTAACACTCAAACACTGCTTTATTTTTCCCAGCATASAGACATACAGTCTTATGAAGGAACACACACCCTGGTATTTATTGCTTCCAAAGTATTTTCAAGGATCTTAACTGGAAGTACTAAAAGAAAGATTCCAGATTTGTGTGTCCAGACTCCCAGAATACTGATGCCAGCTGCAGAGGGCATGCGATGTGGTTAATCATAAAAGGATAACACCTTAGAGGAAATTTACTGCAACATTAGATGGTTGCCTAGGAAACCGAATTAAGTCTTATCAGGCATTATACTGCAATACAAAGATCACTAACACGTTCTTTGGAATACTGGAAAATATCTGTCCTACAACTGCGGTATTGATTTTGCCCAAATAAAATTTACAGCATATATGTAGGTTGCAARGATTGAAGTAATAGTAAAGCACTCATGTTTTTCACTTCGTAGCAGAGTCCTGTAGTGCTTAAGGGGGTGGAAATTCAGTGACGTTAGTTGTTGCTCTCTGCACTTAAGGAAATATATCCCCATCAAAACTGAACAGGAAATTAAATAGGGMTGGGGTATGAAAGGTGGAATATGTTTTGCCATACTGCGGTTGGATAATACATTATTATACTTCCATCATTTACTGAGATCTGAATCATGAATAAAAACATCTCAGGGTCACCAAAATGTAACTCTTTATTGAAAGAAAAGCAAATTTAAGATTCCAGGTATCTTATGAACAAAAACAGCTACAAAAATGAAACTTCACCTAGAAAATAGGAAGCATTAAAAAAAAAAAAAGACAGAACAAAGCAGGTAGGTATTATACATATATTTTCCTTCGCTATAGTCATGGTGAAATCCTGATCTTTTTTGAGAATGCAAGCACTGACAATAAATGCAATGAGAAGTTAACTATAGTTTGATTGTTTCAATGTAATAATTTAATTGCCTGGTCATATAAAATACTCTTAAGATGGCCTGTGAGATCCTAAGAACTTTTTACTTAGCTGAAGTACATTGCTTACACATTTCCCAATGTTTYCAGGCTTGATACCATGTTTTTTATTTTCTCCTCATATCATCTGCATATCTGCAATATATGATTACATACCTCATTAGCAATACTCAGATCAAAGAATTACTTAACTGGACATAACCAAGCTACAAAAAAAAAAGCTAAAATGGCAGTTTGCATAGAATAGTTGATTCCTGTCAAATGCCTAATGATGAATATGGACTGAACGAGGTTCAACAAGGCAAAATACAGGCTCTGGCATTTGGGTCACAACCACTTCATGCAGTGCTACAGGCTGGAGAAGTGTATGGGAAGCCAAGTAAGAAAAGGAACTGGTACCTCACAAACCTGTAAGAGCTCTCTGCAAACAGCTGTGCAGAAGGTAACTCAGCTAACAGAGTGCATTTGGACTTCCCAATATAGTTCTTTGGAAGGAGTCTCGCCCTAATGATTTTAAAGGCATGCAGGAAAGACATTGCCCTGGGCCCCAAATCCCCATCACTGCACAGGTTGTTACAGTAGACTGTCTCATGCCTACATTAGGTCAATTTTCACGAAGCAGCTATGCAAAAAAGAAATCTATTAGCAGTATTTACAAAACTAAAAACCAAACAAAAGTATGCCTCTCTGGTATGGTATGGCTGGTGTGGCTTCCTCAGCATTACAACAGAAAGGCATTGAAAGGGGAAACRAGAACAGTAAAAACCAGTTGTGTACGAGAAACAACTCCACTGAACTCTTAGCTGTGGCAGGGGGAAGGATAGYAGAGGACAGGAATGGAAGAGATCCATAAGTGGAAAATGGGCAGGAAGTTAAGAAATGTTGGTTCACCTCTCCAACACAAGACCTAGCAAGTACCAGTTTATTCAGACAACCAGTCCAAAAGATTTTTGCATAAATACTTCCACAGAACACTGCAGAAGCCAAAAATTTATGTGGGACAGGAACTAAACAGATAAAGCTGTAGGAAAACAAAGTGACAGGGCAGACAYTGAAGATACCATGTGCCTCAGCTGGCCCTAACCTGCAAGGCTGCTGACAACTCATTCTGAGGAAGCCAGAATACCATTGCATGTTTCTCCTGTCTGAACTTTCTTCTCAGGCATCTGCAAACAAATCAGTGTCAAATACAAGTCTTTGGTTTGACTTACTGGAGTCAGATTACATTAGACGACAAATCTGCAGAGTCAACAGAACATGATTTAGGAAACTGCGGTTGTTTAAGTTTTCTTGAAGGAAACAGTTTTCTTGTTCACCAATGTGCTTTTAATTACTCTCCTAAACCCTGGACTATACAAATTCCAGACACTTACAATAATGTTTTTGTATTGCTGCTTCACTGACAAAAACTGAAAATTGTTCCAATCTTCTTGTAAAACTTGGAGAGCAAGCTACCAACTGAGGAGAATTCATATTTTAAATCACTCCTTAAAAAAAAAAAACCTGAAATACTGTTTTCTGCCTTTACTGAGACTAGGATTTCAGTGTCTGTTCAGTTTATACAGTAGCTGATTATGAACAACAGTAGCTTCCATATTCTAGAACTCTTGATTCTGGAGATGCTCTGAGGACCAATGCAGTTGAAGGCACTATTGCTTAGCTTAACTAAAAAATACTTTTTGAATATACAGCTTCAAATGTTATGTGTGTTTGCTGGTCACCCAGAGCCAGCACTCTCTTTTTTTTTTTAATGTAAATACTGAAATTTAAATCTTTAATTTGTTCATAATCTTAAATTACTCAACTACTGTAAMAAAAAAAAAAAAAAAAAAAACGCAAACCAACAACAGTACTTTCAAAACTTCTCAGATAGTTCACACTTAAAAAAAACAGAGAAAAAATTTTAAAAGTTTCCCAATCTTTACTAAAGTTACTGTAATTTTAGGTTCTATGCAGTCTTAAAATAAAAATCAAAACGTAGCCAAACTCTGGAGTCAAACACTGTAGCCACAAATGGAGACTATTCAGAAATCAATACTGTGCACAGCACAATACGCCTCCAGTTCCCCTACACTGCTCCAATACAAAAATAACCAGCCAAAGAAAAACTCTCTGCAACAAAATAGATTCAAATTCTGTAGCACTACTACAGTAATTCCACAGCATATTGAAATATGCTTTCAATTTATTTAGTTAGCAGCTTGTCATAAACTACACTTTGTAGTCCTAAACTTGGAAATTTCTTAGCTCTTAAATACAGAACTAGACATGTAAAGAAGAGGAAGCTTAAAATTTTGAYAGACAATCTGAGATAGCTGGGGATCGGGGAACACGATGTAAACTATCTCATGCAAATTTTGAAAAAGGACATGAACTAGAAACTTCTGTTTAAAACAGCCAGCAATATAACACCAATGTTAATGTCCTAATACCACTATCTCTTTTCAAAGACAGCAGCAAAATGAGTTGATCAGTGTAGTTTGCTTGTACCTCCCAGAATAAATGTCTCATACTCCAGCACATGTGGATCCATTAATCTGAAATTCATTTCAGTAAACATTCCATATAGGAATGATAGCCAGTACGTGGACKTTTTTCAGTCCCATAAAAGCTATAGACTACTAAAAGCCACAGGCCAGCTATCTAACAGGAGGTGGACCACATAATCCTCTGAGACTACAGGCTTCAGCAGACATAAAGCTCTGATTAAAGCAATCTGCAAATAAAACCTTCCATCTTTTACACTAGTTAAAGATAATACTTTTGTTTCAAAGTAAATTTTAGATGACTGTCTTGGGGAGTGGTAAACCACCATATAGAATGAAACTAATTACTGGAAAGACACTCCTGGAACTTATAAAAAAATCCCAACCATGACATAAGAAATCAGTGACTGCATGACAAGTGAACACTGACATGCTACGATACAATTATTTCAATTCCAACACCAGTAACATGCCTGCCAGTACATGRTAATTAGCTCAAGAAGTTTTCAACATGTTCCACTTCAGCTGACAAGGGAGGAGGGAAAGTATCTTTTACTGTTTGTTCTTGAGAAAAAAGGTTGTATTTCACTTACCAGTTCCTATATAGGGTTTAAAGCGTCCTGATAGTCTGTCGACAAAGGCACCTAGAACATCTAATCCCAGCAGTGCTACCTGTTGAAACAAAAGTATTAGATATCATAAACCAAATCACTAAAGAATTGTTTAGAATAGATTTCAAATAAATTAGACAGATAAATGCAAGCATGCTGAAAAACTATTTTAAAGGTAAGTTAAAGTCTCTGTTAAAAAGCTAATAATTCCTTCAAAGTTCTTATTTAGACAAAGATATCAGAACATGTTTGGAACAGATCAAATTTATTTACATACAGCAGTTCAGATTTTTCAGTTCTTGCCTTAAAACAGAAAAAAAAGAAATATTAGAAATCCAATGTTTTTGTGTTTTCARCTACAAAACCCAAACAAAGACATGGTTTAAAGGTTTCCCAGATGCTAAAAGCTTACTTCAATCTGGTCACTTAGCTCATCCACTAAAATCATTACATCATTTTCCAAACTCCCAAAAGAAAATAACTGAGAAGCTAATTCTACTTTCCCTAGTGGTTCAGACTACACCATTTGTACACCATTTGTTAAGCTAGGGAAATCTAATTTTTCATTTGCTTGTTAAAAAAATAATAAAGAACCTCCTCAAACCAAACAAAAACAACATGAAAAACTAAACCAAAACAAAAACCAACCCAATCCAGAACAAAACATACCCCAAACAAAAAACAAACCGAAACAGAAAGAAAAAGGAAATGCAAAATACTACTGGAATTTTGAGGAATTTCCCATCCATGAASAGAAGCTAGGTCAGATAACAATATCCACTAATATAGAAACAAAAACATGAACAGAAATTATCAGTTAGACAAAATTATTTTAAGAAGTTAGGACACTTCTTCTACTGTTTACTGTCCTGCATATTGTTCTAAGATTTCATTCTGTGTTTCCTGTAATAGTTCATAAGCAGCACCAGAACTGCATTTTCACAACCTCAATCTGCTGCCCGTGAAGGTGCAAATGGAACAACCATTTGTCAAAGGAACAACCTCCTTAAGCTTGGGCATTCCTTAAAGCTTTTCTTCATCTTTATTTTCTAGTAAGGCATGCACTACAATGTTTTCCCCATGAACTCATGGTTAGAATTCCTGTCCTTTATTARCTGTTTATTTTCATAAAATTWGGAAYTGTATTTTTTGGACCCCTCTGCATSCTTRMAATCCTTATCTGTCACGATTGTCCACACTAGGCAGCAGGCCAAAAAAAACTTGACTGGTTATGCATGCACATACACGTGGCCCATGTACACAGGATCCCATGAGCCTTGTTTCCACAGGAAACTAGAAAATCAGATCCCCATAAAACCTAGGATGAGAAGCAACCACACATTTAAGTTGATTTTAATAAATTCAGTATTAGCATAAGAGATTTCATTTTAAAAAGGAGGTATAAAACTTAATTCCCAATTAGTACAACAGGGCACCTGGACACAATTTTATTACATACTAAAACACAGAACAGCATAAGTGGATGGCAGCCCTGGCTTAAATTAATATATTGTCAACCACTGACTCTATCTACAGCTTTGGAAAATAGAATATTATAATCAGTGAGTGACTTAGGGAAAAAATATATAAATTAGCTTTTATGGGAATGTCAAGGCTTTCCACAAGCTTTTTCCTTTAATGTTATTTTCCAGATTATCAAGCAATATGAAACCACAGTCAAAAGTTCATCTAAAAACCAACAGCTGAAAGAAAGAAATTCATTCTAGACCCATTGTTTTCCTATGCTTCTGTTTCCTGACTACAAGCCCCACCTGACACCTTTTAAGATATCCTTCCATGCAAATGTTCRGCAAAAGCAGGAGTCTTTCCTTCTGTAAAGTACTTTTTACAAAGTCTCTTTCTTCTCTGCATATTTATCTTTACAAAATTTGGCTTGAAGATTTCTACCATTATGAAGAACAGCAACTCAGAAACTTAAATGTAGTAAAGCACACATGCATCATCTTTACCTCAAACAAAGTCTTCCATGGTCTGCAACTTCAAAAAGGTAACTGATATGGAAAGACACAATGACTGGAAAAGTAGACTGTAAGTGTGATCACAAGCTGAAATAATGGGAAACTGCTCTAGGTACAAAATTTGCTTTCATTACACACTACAAAACAAGTCAGCTGAACCACACAGTTAGAGAGGACAGCAAGTGAACTACCACCTACTGGTTKTGTAAATCAGTTTTAATATTTCTCTGTTCTGATACACAAGGCTCAAAGGTTCAGCATCTCCTGGTAGGTATCACCTGCACAGTACTCAAATAGGTCTTTTGGATGGAGGCCTTTAATTTGTATGGGGTCACATAAACAGCATGCCAAAAATAGAAAACAAAAAATTTCAAAAAACCTAAATTGAGGTAGAACTCATCTGCAACAAAGAGGTTCCAAGCTCTGAGAYACTTTGTGGGACCATTTACCAACACAGGCCCTCCACTATCAATAGAAAAACGTTTCACCAGCATCACTGCTCTTCCCCCARCAGATTCAATGAGGGATGAATGCCTTCTGGGATCAAAATCAATGGATTTTTTTCTTACTCTGCATTCATTAAGCCTTTTTGCTTGGTGTCTATAAAGAGCCTTTGTATGTTGAGACTGATTCATCAACTCACCATTGTTTCAAACATTTAAACAGTGCTTWTAAAGTTCATAGGGGAAAAGAAATKTAGGCTCATTTGAACTGGAATTGGTTAATTGCTCTCCTTTAAGAAGCCAAAATTAAGACCCCCTTGACTTCTCAGACCACAACAAAGTTGCCAAACCAACTAAGAAATATTTTATCTGTTCTGGATAAAAAAAAAAGACCTGACTTTTTAGTAAAACCAAGACATTCCAACCAAAATATSACTATGAATTGAACCAGTGATTAATAATTGAGCCTATTCTTGCTCTGCAACTTGCTCCTTTTCCAGCTCTCTTTCTGCACATGCTTTCCAGCATTGTCCCTGCTCTTCCCTGGAAGTGGACAACTTCCAGGCACCTAGGCTTTTGCTAAGAAAAGAAAYACTGTTCTTCAAACCATACCTGGATGATCATGCTCACTGTTACTTTCACTGTGATTCTGCAATTTCCCATCCCTGAAGGGGACAGCTAGGGAAAGGACACTATCAGGAAAACCTCTCTACCTGTGTMAGCTGCCACATGACTTTAATACAAATGTCCTTGGATTTGATGATTGGATCTCTGACCTGTACATGGAAATAYGAATTCCGTAGATCATGATTTGTGAAATAATCATGAGAATCTAATGGGGGAATTATGGAGGTCATTATCTGGAACTCCAAAGAATGAAGTTAAGCCACTGGACTTCCTGTCACCATGGGGACAGCTGTGGTATCACTAACAATTACTGACAAACAGAATACAGCATGCCAAACAACTACACCCTTCAAGAGCAAGCATTGTTCCAGAACTGCAGTGCTGGAACAAGATATATACAAAAACTYCATGAGATTTTCTTCTTAATACAAKTATTGTCAGCCAAGACACTTTCTCAATTCTCATAATCTCAAGTACCTTGAAAGCAGCTCAATGCGAAGCAAAAATACGCATGCATGTACATGCAGTCTCTTGTACATCACTTGTTCAAGTTTTGTGTTTTTARTTCTCTCTACTCACCTTTCTGGACACAATTCTGCTCCCCTATTCCATACTTTTTGCTCCCTTCACTGTTTCCCATTCCAGTTCTACACACTTCGACCACTTCGCTGACATCTACCCATAGTCCATTCCCTTAATTCAAAAGCTTACACAGATACAAAACTGTGCCCCCATGGGCAGAAGGATGTCTCCATTATTCAGGGTGATTTCTTCAACTCATGTGGTTCTTCAGTTCCAGCCATGTTGCCTTCAGACTCCATTCTCCCTGCCATTCAGCAGCAGCTGGGCAGCTGCCTCTGCTGAYAGAAGCCAAAACTGCAGTCCCAGCTGCTGAAGCTACCACACACATCATCTATAGTTCAGATGAAAGCTGACAAGAAAGCTTTATTTCCATTCTCTTGCTTGTTTCATTTTCAAGGGCACTAATAAAACACTTCCAACTGCAATAGTGTGGGGTTTTTTTTTTAACATGCATCACATCACTTTGCAAAGAAACAAAGCTCCTGGTAACTAAAAAGTCTTCAAGCTCAACAACTGGAGTCCAAGTTCATTAATAAATGCAGAGCCCCCTCTATCCAAAAATGCAAAGTCACTGCCTTCAAATAGATGTTTTCCAACTATACTTCAGACCACAAGATTCTAAGTATCCATTTTTTGTTACTGTTAAAACTACCCACCAACTGCAACCCTCATCTCAAAAGGAGTACAGACCATCAAACTGATGGTAACCTTCCCKTCATAATTCTGTAATGGCCAACCACAGAACATTTAAGCATCACAGGGCAAGTAACCACACTACCAGATGATTGCTGAATGAACCGCCCATATTTATTTAGASAGTGACAAGTGTATTTCTGCACTGAAAAGGCTTGGTTTCTTCAGGGGACCTCTCAACAGGCACAATTCTGGGAGGTCCCTGTTATGTTGACCTCTCCTGTAATGAAGCCAAAACAAGCAAGCAYAGTGCTCTCATAAAAATTTTAGAGCTTATTAAAAAGGAAAAAAAAAGAAAATACGTTTTAGTGTCCTTTCCCCAAGTTGGGAACTTTAGCTTCCTATTATGACTGCCCGCATTAATAAAGAAACATCTAGTCAATTCTAGAACATGTTMATGTAACACTTAAAATGGTCACTGGAAAAAAAAATGCTTACAGCCTTTGTTATTTCAAAATCTCTCATAATCTTCAAACTGAATTCAGACTGCAAGTGTGATCTCCAAAYGGTTCTGTATTCTGTGGACAATACAGTATTCTAAATTTTGTGCAYTGCCTCCAGTTTGATCCATTACAGGAACATCTCCAGTTTGCTTCACATGTGTATTAAACATTCTTCCCTTATCTAGTGTTATAAACTTTTCATAATGTTCCAAGGACAGTGARCAAAACCCAAAAGTATATGATGCAGCAACACCTGACATTGTAAGCCATTTTCTTTTTGAGATTGTCAGGCTA